GCAGGGCCTGGTCTGGAACACCTGGGGCCCTATCCAGAACTCGGCGCGCCAGGCCTATGGCTTCTCCAGCTGGGACATCGCGCTGCTTGTGCTGTGGGGGCCCATTGGCTTCCTGCCCTGCTTCGCGTTCATGTGGCTCCTGGACAAGAGAGGTGAGGGGTCGTGGGGTGGGCAGGGTGTGTGTGGGGTCTCTGCAAGTGCTGTCACTCCCTGGGGAGTCAGCGCCTGCCCTAGCTCCAGGCCTGCCAGCCGCCTCTCTGGGCTTGGTATTAGGGGTTGTGTGAGGTGACCCAGTGTTGGTGGCATCCCGTTTCTGAGTTAGGAACCCTCTGTCCTCAAAGAGACAAGTAAATATGGGGAAACTGCCATGCAAATGTTTATTTATTTATATTTAAATCAAGGCCCTTTCTGCAACTGTAGGGATTTAAGCGATCTTTGAATGTTTCGGATTTTACACATTGTGGACATCAGAGCATCGAAGTGCACATGCTATGAATGTTTTTTACACCTGACAAAAATGACTAATGCTTTGACTTCAAAGGGATTTGGGCATGTTGAGGGTGAGAGGTCAGAAAATAGATTGATTATGTCCAGATGTAAGGAAGTAATGAGTTGGCTTTGATCATAGATGACTCCAGCCCTGGAAAAGCTATTGGAAAACTCAGATCTGACGCTTGGTTTTCTGAAGGTGGTGCAGGACAGGTTTAAAATGTGTGTATGTGACCAGGTGGCTTTCTCAATTGAGATGCATAGGATACTGTGTACATCTAATTTTACCACCTGCCAGTATGATTCTGATAGGAGCAAAAATAAATAAAAGTTCACAGGGCTGAGAAAACATTGAATAATCCCACGTAAATATGGGCAAATAGATTTATAGCGATGATTTACCCTCAAGAGGCTGTTGTACAAGACTTTAGGTTTATTAGTTGGATAATGATTTGGGATTACTTTGTATCATTTCTGTTAGTTCAGCCTTTTATAAGTATTTATGAAATTAGTTCTTTGATAAGATTTGGAACATTGTCTTAGTCCACTGGGGCCATTATAACAAAATGCTATCAATTTGGTGCCTAATAAACAACAGAAATTTATTTCTTTTTTATTTTTATTTTTTTTAGTTGTAGATGAACAATACCTTTATTTTTTTATTTTTATTTTTTTTAATGTGGTGCCAGGGATTGAACCCAGTGCCTCACACTTGCTAGGAAAGCGCTACCACTGAGCTACAACCCGAACCCTAGAAATTTATTTCTAACAGTTCTGGATGATTGAAGGCCTGGGCAGAATCCATGATGTCTGGTTAGACTTACTTCCTGCACAGTGGTCTTTTCTTTGTAATGTCTCATGGGGGAAAAAGCTAGTAATCTCTCTGGGATCACTTTCATAAAAGCATTACTCTTATTCATAAGGACTGTTCCCTCATAACATAATCAATTCCCAAAATTCCTCCTCCTAATTCCATGATTGTGGTGGTTAGGATTTCAGCATATGGATTGAGGGAGATACAAATATTCAGATTATCACAAGTCAAGCATAGGTAGACATAGAATTGCAATTGTCTGGCACATAGTTAGCATTCAAATTATTTGTTATTAAGACACTAGAATAGGGTGATGGTCTCCCATCCTGACAGTTCCTTCATAGGAATATTCTATATGGAAAAGACTGTGGAACTGTTGATTTGAGAATTCATTCACAACCAATAATGTGATATAACTGCTAAAAGAGGAGGACAATTTTGGGCACAGAGCATAGTGTCCAGAACAAGAAGAGAAATGGTTTGAAATTCTCTATACTAATGTTTGGTATTGAGCATTGATATTTAAGGTCATTTGACAAACCAGATTTTAAAAATGTGTGACAGTAATGATAATGGTTTTAAAAACCATGGTTGTAAAAAAACCAAAACTTCCCCCTGCCAAAAAAAAATTATGGTTGGGTAAAAATCATAGAAGGGAACAGTTTGAAAAAGAAACTTGAGGCAGAATGTAGAATATGTGATGGTCAAGTAAAAGAGGAATTAGACTATAATATATATAGTTCTAGAAGGAAGAACTGAAGTGCATTAAGTTATAAGGAATGTGACACCACAAAATACAAGGAAGAACCTTCTAACAATAAGTTATTCAGTCTTGGAAGGGTGTGTCTTGACTGGTATAGAACTTTCAGGTTGAGTAGATACTAACACAGAAGATGTGCGAAAAATGCTGAGAAAGGATTTCATGTTCTGAATGGAGACATTCTGTTTTGATGTTTTTTGTTTGCTTGCTTGCTTTTTAATGAAATTATAGACTTTACTTGGACTTCATCAATTTTTCCAATTTTTTTCCTAGTCTAAGATACAGTCTAGATTTGCATGTTGAACATATTATTTCTACTTATTTTTTCTCTAACCTGACAATTCTTTGTTCATTCCTTAAAAGTTTAGCCAAGAACAACATTTAGAAGTGTCAAAAGACAAGATTACAACTAATTTAATTATAGGTAGAATAGGAGTTTATTTGTTATTAATGAATTGGACAGCTTCCATTCTACAAAATAGAATAAAAGTTCTCCTTGGAAAAAAACAAAGAGTAAGTGTGTGTGGTATTTGTTTGGTATCAGAAGTTGAACCTAAGGGCACTTCACCACTGAGTTATATCCCCAGCCCTTTTTCTTTTTAATTTTGAGGCACAGTCTTATTGGATTGCCAAGCCTGGCCTCAAACTTGCAATCCTCCTCCCTCAGCCTCTTGAATCATTGAGATTACAGCACCACTGTACCTTGGGTAGAGTTGGTTTTATAAGGTGTAACAAGGAATCAAAAATAATAGGAAAAAAACCTGATTGGTTAATGTCAGATTACTGCTATTCACTTTTTAGTAAAGGTCAAAGTAAGGGGGACTTCCTTATTATACTGACTCATGTAAACCAAAATCTATTTTCAGGAAAAACTAGCCTGTTTTTAATAACATCCTTAAAGTTTCCATTTGATTATTTAGCATAAGGAGCTCCATTTTGGTTTGGTGGTCTGACCTGTTGGATCATAGTATAGAAGCTCAGTCCAAAACATAATTTTTGTTTAATGGGGGAAAATGCTGTTTTGTAGTTTCTTTTTATTTTTCTTTTCATAAGAAACTTTTTCAATATTCTTTAAATTTAGTCAACCTTGATTTTGTGGTAGAAAAATGTTTAATTTTCCTCGTTCTTATTATAATTTTATCTATTATTCATGACCAGATATATTAGAAGCTACCTAATCATTTCATAAAATAAATGTTTTAGAAATTCATTCATAGTTCTTATAACTATATGATGAAATCAATTTTATATTTTATTTTAGTTGTAGATGGACACAATATTTTATTTATTTATTTTTATGTGGTACTGAGGATCGAAATCAGTACCTCACACATGCAAGGCAAGCGCTCTATACCACTGACCTACAATCCCATCCTTCAATTTTAAAATTTTTTTCCGTTGGTCGAAGTAATAAAAGATAAATTTGAAAATTCTGTTAGGAAGTAATTTTTCTTTCCAGATGTGTTCTGCAGGTGTCTCATCTGTACACACAGAATACAAATTCTGAGCTTTCACTGGGGGCTAAATATCTCGCTCCCTAGAAAATAAATGGTTGTCCGGTGATCATGCTGCAACAGATCTCACCCAGCTTAGCATAGAAGACCTTTTATCTTCCTAAGATGTATGTTACACCTTCCCTCCCCTCTTTATTTACCAGCATGAAACAGAAAAGTACTAGCTAGTGAGATAATAGGAGAGTCAGAACAAATGTAACCTAGAAACCAAGAGAAGAAAGCTTCAAGAAGATAACAATAAAATGTATGCAAAGCACTGGGGTAGAGTCTACAACTAGTGAGAAGATCCAGGAAGCAAATTTTAAAATTCAATATTTAGCATGTCAGAGGTTAATATATGATTTGGAAAAAATAAAAACAAGTTAAAGAATGAAGGGAGCCAACGCTGTGGCACATGTGGGTAATCCCAGCAGCTGAGGAGGTTGAGGCAGGAGGATTGCAAATTCAAAGCCAGCCTCAGCAAAAGCGAGGGGCTAAGCAACTCAATGAGATCCTGTCTCTAAATAAAATACAAAATAGGGCTGGGGATGAGGCTTAGTGGTCAAGTGCCCCTGAGTTTAATGCCTGGTACCTCCCCCTGCTGCCCCTGCCCCCCCCCCAAAAAAAAAAAGAATGAAGGGAACATGATCAGGTGGTGTTATATTTTGCAGAGGGTGTCAGGGAAAGCCTCACTTAGTAACAGTGTTTGAGTAGATACTTGAGGGAAAAAGGAAGCCAGCCTTGTAGATTCCAGATAAGACTGTTTGGGGCAAAGGTAATAGCAAAGACAAAAGGTCCTAAACTTGTTTGGCATTTCCAAGAATAAACAATGAGACTGGAGCAGAGTCCTTGAAAGAAACAGTGGTAAGAGGATCCCTGAGGGAATGGGAAACTGGCTCAGGGAGGGCCTTGAAAGCCAAGGGAAGGCCCTGGGCCATTGAAAGGCTCTGAGACATGAGCAAAATGAAGACTCTACCAGTATTGTCTTAAGAATGTGAGCCAGAGCAGGGAGACCTGTTAGGCTAGTGGAATAACCCAGATGGGAGCTGATGGTGGCTTCCTTCAGGTTATGGCAATGGAGGATTTGAGAAGTGGTTAGTTTGTATATAGATGTTGAAAGTAAACTCAAAAGTGTTGTTAATGGGTCTGTTATAGAGTGTGAAGGAAAGAGAGGAGTCTGTAATGTTTTTCAACCTTATAATATTAGTAATTTGGAGAATAGAGCTTTGATTTACTGAGGTCAAGATTGTGGAAAGAACAGTTGGGAGGCAGATGGCATGGAGATTAGGAGTTGGAAATGCCTATTAGATATCTAAGAAGATTGATTAAAATGTTGGTTGGATAAACAAGTATGGAATTCAGGGGAGACACCTGCACAGTAATTTCGGGAGCTGTCAGATGTAACAAACTATAGAAATGATCCCTGAAACTATATCTTTGTCAGATGTAATACTATTTAAAGTCTTGGGGCCCGGTGGGATCACCTGTGGAGAGAAATGTAGCTTCTGAAGAGGTGAGGACTGAACCCTGGGGCATTCCAGTATTTAGAAGTTGTGTAAGTAAAAAAGAACAAGCTAGGGAGGATTAAGAATAGAA